TCCTAAGCATGGAGCAAGTGAAGGAATCATCAATCTCCTTACCTAGTTCCATCACTCTTCGACTTAGAAAATAGGCCTAATGAACTGAGAGTATATAGGTATTCGGTCCCTCGCCGATCATGTTATAAATTGTTTATCTCCCACTGTTTATGTTCATCTTTCACTAATGTGTGTCTTGATGCAGCGAATATGGCTAACCTGAGCCATCGGGAATTAAGGAAACTTTGGAAATTGCAAGAGGCCTCTAAAGAGGTCGGAGCTGCTGTGGTTGGTGAGAAGGCGAGAGATGCTGTCGTCTCACTCTCGAAGGGTGTAGTCGGCGAGACCTCCCATAAGTGCCGTCGAGAGACCGAGGAGCCTATTACCCTCGTGAACTTGGAAACCGAGATTGGTGGAGATGAGGCCGAGAAGGAACTAGAGGTTCAATCGGTAGAACGAACCATTAGCATGTGCATAGGTGACAACTGGGAGCCCGTGGATCATGGGAATGAGCAGGGGAGAGTCCCGTATTTTTGGGACGAGAAATTCAACCATTCCTCCCACATCCGTGAGACCGACCTGCTAGAAGGGGACAAGGGTGATTTGGAAAAGATGAGCGCCTTTTCTATCACCAAAGGTGTGGAGTCTTTAACGAATCGCCTCTCAGCCTTGTCCCTCATTAATGAGGACAAAATTCGTGGTATGGCAAGGGAGTTTAAGTTGCAGGGGAAGAAAATCAGCACCTTGGAGGAAAATGTCAACAAGGGTAAGGCCGATTTAAGGTGGGTCGTCAACGAACGGGACAAGCTGCTAGATGGGCGACGCGCTTTCGAGGAAGAGCGGTCTGCGTGGATGGCCGAGAAGGCGGCCATGGAGAAAGATCTCGAGGAGGCTTGCCTTGCGCGAGACAGAAATGCCGACGCTGCCCAAGTCTTTAAGAGTGATGTGGCAACTATGGGAGCGGAGGTGGAAAGCTTGCAATCTGATCTTCAGGCCGTCAAGATGGACTCGCTGAAGAAATTCACACAGGGCTTCGATGCTGCCGCTGCTCAAGTGAAGTTTTTGTATGCCGACCTCGACCTTGAAGGCATAGGTTATTTTAAAGAAGTCATTGATGGGCAACTCGTAGACCCCCCCGAGGACGATTGAGCAGCTTACCTTGTAATTTCCTTGCTTTTTGTATAAGTTTGAATGTTTCATGTTCTAGGCCCAACTTTGTCGGTTTAAGGTGTGTTACTGACTGACTTTTGGTGTTTCAAAAAATTTGATGTTTCCTTTGCCAAATTCTGCTTGTGCGCTTTGTTTCCTTGTTGATCAAATTTTTTCTAAGTTACGTTGAACATTTTTAGGAACCAAGTCGTACGAAACTTGACGAAAATTTGTCTAAGTTAAAAATTTAACCTTGATGTAGTTGGTCGTCCAAAATCCGACTCGAACAGCGACAAATTTGTGTAAGTTAAAAAATTGAATCTTGATGTAATTGGTCATCCAAACTCCGACTCAAACAACGACAAATTTGTCTAAGTTAAAAATTTAACCTTGATGTAGTTGGTCGTCCAAAATCCGACTCGAACAACGACAAATTTGTGTAAGTTAAAAAATTGAATCTTGATGTAATTGGTCGTCCAAAATCCGACTCGAACAACGACAAATTTGTCTAAGTTAAAAAATTGAATCTTGATGTAATTGGTCGTCCAAAATCCGACTCGAACAACGACAAATTTGTCTAAGTTAAAAAATTGAATCTTGATGTAATTGGTCGTCCAAAATCCGACTCGAACAACGACAAATTTGTCTAAGTTAAAAAATTGAATCTTGATGTAATTGGTCGTCCAAAATCCGACTCGAAAAATGACAAATTTGTCTAAGTTAAAAATGAATGTTGATGTAATTGGTCGTCCAAAATCCGACTTCAACAACGACAAATTTGTCTAAGTTAAAAAATTGAATCTTGATGTAATTGGTCGTCCAAAATCCGACTTCAACAACGACAAATTTGTCTAAGTTAAAAAATTGAATCTTGATGTAATTGGTCGTCCAAAATCCGACTCGAACAACGACAAATTTGTCTAAGTTAAAAAATTGAATCTCGACCATATAATCGTGTTTGAACATGTTTGACGTTGACAACGAAATTTTTGTGGGTTGTTTTGCCCAAATTTGTCTTCGAGTTATTTATACTCGCCCAGTCGGTTTTTTGCCGACAATCACGAGTTTTGTCTTCGAGTTATTTATACTCGCCCAGTCGGACTTTTGCCAACAATCACGAGTTTTGTCTTCGAGTTATTTATACTCGCCCAGTCGGACTTTTGCCGACAATCACGAGTTTTGTCTTCGAGTTATTTATACTCGCCCAGTCGGACTTTTGCCGACAATCACGAGTTTTGTCTTCGAGTTATTTATACTCGCCCAGTCGGACTTTTGCCGACAATCACGAGTTTTGTCTTTGAGTTATTTATACTCGCCCAGTCGGTTTTTTGCGGACAATCACGAGTTTTGTCTTCGAGTTATTTATACTCGCCCAGTCGGACTTTTGCCGACAATCACGAGTTTTGTGCCTTTAAAATAACACATGTTAGGAGTCATGAAAAGAAACAATGAGATGATATTATTTCTTATAATTGAATAGGTGGTGCCTCGTTAAAAACCTTCTCATCAAAAACCCCTCATATTTTTACGGGGACAAAATACTGAGTTAGGAAAAGAGTGCACCTACTAAATACAAGTGAATAAAGAGACTAGTTATAGTAGAAACGCAAATTCGCCGCGTTCCATGTCCTCGGTATCATCCCTCCATCCAAGGTCCTCAATCGGTAAGCTCCTTTGCCGACCACGTCATCAATTTTGTAAGGGCCGACCCACTTAGGTGAAAACTTGTTCCTCATTTGTGTTAGCTGAGCACGCTTCAAAACGAGGTCTCCCACAACGAAGTCTCTCGAAATGAACTTTGTTTTGTACTTGAAAGCTGCTCTTTTATGGGCTGCCACTTGGTTTATCCTTGCACTTTCTCTTGTTTCGGCGATCAAGTCCAAGTCAACTCGCCTTGCCTGGTCGAATTCCTCTTCAGAAAAAGTTGTGGTACGTACTGAGGGTTCCGCGATTTCAATCGGTATCATAGCGTCCGTTCCGTACACTAAGTTGATGGAGTGTCTCAAGTCGATGAATGCACTGTTGTGTGATATGACCATAGTACCCGAGGAAGCTCCTCCACCCATGAAGCGCCTGAGTCTTGGACACGCTTCTTTAACCCTGAGAGAATTATCTTGTTGGCCGACTCCGCCTGGCCGTTGGATTGGGGATGTTCGACGGAGGTGAACGTCATTCGGATGCCGATCCCCCAGCATAATTCGCGGACTCTCGCACTCGCGAATTATGTCCCGTTATCCGATACGAGCACCTGGGAAACACCGTATCTACATACTACGTTCTTCCATAAGAACGTCTTTACCTTCTCCGTCGAGATGGTCGCCACAGGCTCCGCTTCAATCCATTTGCTGAAATAGTCTACAGCCACTATCAAGAATTTTAACTGTCTCACAGCTATCGAAAACGGACCGAGAATGTCAATACCCCACTTGTTAAATGGCCAAGGAGATAAAATCGAGTGGAGTCGTTCGGCTAGGGAGTGGTGCAAAGTTGCATGCCTTTGACATCCATCACATTTTTGAACCCAATTGACGCAGTCGTTTCTCAGACTCGGCCAAAAGTAGCCTGCTCTCGCCACTTTGTACACCAGGGCTCGTCCTCCGATGTGACTCCCACACATTCCACTATGTACCTCGTCCATCACTCTTTGCGCTTGTGAAGCGGTCAAGCACCTTAGAAGGGGAGAGCTGAAACCTCTTCGATACAATCTTTCATTGATGACCACGAATCTGGCTGACTCCCTCTGTATCAATGAGGCCTCCTTCTTGTCCTCTGGCAATTCCCCCCGAGTCAAGTATGCAATGTACGGTCCCATCCATGAGTCGAGCTCATCTTGGATGAAAAGAACACTCCCCTGTGGCTCGTTAATACTTGGCTGCGCTAAGGTCTCTTGGATGACCGACCGAGTGGTTCCCGGCTTCTTTGTGTTGGCAAGCTTGGAGGGCAGATCGGCCCTCGAGTTTTGCTCTCGCGGTATGTGGTTAAGCGTGAATTCTCGGAAATTCTCCGATAGAAGCTTAACTTTTTCCAAGTACTTAGCCAGTTGAGGGTCCTTTGCTTGGAAAGTGCCTGCTACCTGCCCCGTGATCAATTGAGAGTCGCTTCGTGCTGACAAACTCGCCGCCCCCATCTCCTTCGCCAATGCCATGCCGGCCAACAACGCCTCATATTCGGCCTGGTTATTGCTTGCTCGGAATTCGAAGCGCAACGACTGTTCCAACAAAATTCCTCTTGGTCCTTCCAAGACGATCCCTGCTCCACTTCCCCCAAGGTTCGATGCTCCATCTACTGACAAGGTCCACTGCGTCTCTCCAAACTCACCCTCATCGGCGGGCGCGGTCAACTCCATCACGAAGTCGGCTAGTGCTTGAGCTTTGATTGCGCCTCTCGGCTCATACTTGATGGAATACTCTGATAGCTCTATAGACCACTTCATCATTCTTCCTGCCAGGTCGGGCTTTTGTAGTACTTGTCTAATCGGATGGTCAGTACGGAATATCACTTCATAACTCTGGAAATAGTGTCTTAACTTCCGCGCTGTAACCAGTATTGCAAGAGCCAATTTCTCGATCTTCTGATACCTTATTTTGGTGCCTTGTAGGACCCGACTCACGAAGTATACCGGAACTTGGGTGCCTTCTTGCTCTTGGACCAGCACTGCACTGACTGCTCAATCGGATGCCGATATGTAAATCAATATGGGAAGATTCAACCGCGGTTTTTGTCAGGATCGGCGGCGATGCTAGCGATTTCTTGAGTTCTGTGAAGGCTTCCTCGCACTCGTTTGTCCAGGCGAATCGATCGTTCTTCTTTAGGCATTGGAAAAGCGGCAACGCCTTGTAGGCTAACTTGGACAGGAAACGAGATAATGAAGCCATCCTTCCCGTGAGCTACTGCACCTCCTTCACCATGGAAGGACTCCTCATGTTGATGATCGCCAAGCACTTCTCAGGATTTTCCTCGATGCCGCGATGAGTCAGCAAGAAACCGAGGAATTTTCCCGCTTGGACTCCAAAAGAACATTTCTCGGGGTTCAACTTGAGCTGGTATTTTCCTATGGTTTCAAATAGTTCCTTCAAGTCGTCTAAATGCCAATCCAAACACATTGACTTTACCACCATGTCGTCTACGTAAGCCTCCACATTCCTACCCAGCTGGTCCACCAACACGTTGTCCATCAGACGCTGATACGTTGCACCTGCACTCTCCAAACCAAAAGGCACTACCTTGTAGCAATAGTTGTTCTGGTCGGCTATGAACGCGGTTTTATCCTCGTCGGCTGGGTGCATTCGGATCTGATTATAACCGGAATACGCGTCCATGAAACTTAGCAGCTCGTACCCAGACGCACCATCAACGAGGCAGTCTATATTCGGCAGGGGGTACGAATCCTTCGGGCATGCCTTATTTAAGTCAGTGAAATCTGTGCACATTCTCCACTTTCCACTGCTTTTACGTACCATCACGACATTTGCAAGCCAGGTCGGGTATTGTATTTCTCGTATGAACCCCGCCATCAGTAACTTGTCGGTCTCTTCAGCAATGGCTTTACGCTTGTCCTCGCCACACTTCCTCCTCTTCTGGATAACTGGCTTCGCACGTGGATCAATGGCTAGCTTGTGGCACATGAAATCGGGGTCCACTCCTGGCATATCTTTGACGTGCCACGTGAATGCCGACATGTTCGCTTTCAATACTTCAACCAATTTCTCTGCGTCCTCCTGGCTCAGGGACGTATCGACCTTCACTTTCTTTTCTTCCGCCAACGTCACCTCCTTAATGTCCTCAGCAGGGGCTGGTCGGCGATCAAAATGGCTCACTCTAGGGTCTAGATCGATGGAATGGACCTCCTGCTCGACCTGCGCGGTATACAGTCGCCTTCGTGCCTTTAAACTATCACCGTAGGACTTCCGAGCAACCTCCTGGTCCACTCTGAGAGTCCCCACAGCACCGCTCGGCAACGGGTACTTTACCTTCTGATAGACCATGGGCCAAGGGCCCACTGACCAGAGCTATGGCTAGGAGGATACAGGAAGAGCTGGATATTGAGAAGACTAATGGGCTTGTCAAGCCCAAGGTAATCTTCACTTGGAATGCTCTATCATGAAGAGAAGGCCTTAGTTCTATTTGTTTATATTGTACAGTTTATGCATAGTATTTTGTATAGGTTATTTTCCCTTTGTATTTGTGAGGCACTTTACTTGCTTTTTCCTAGTGATTGTATATTGTTTTTAAGGTAGGCTACTTGGAGAGTTTAGCTCCATTTAACCTCCCTAGTTGATACTTTCATTTTGTATTTTTTCAGTAGGGAAAAGGGGGTGACATTTAGCAATGCTTGAGGGTGTGCTTAGAAATTGGGCCTGAGTTGGGCCTAGGCAAAATTTTACATATTGGACTCATTTTGCTCCTAATTTTTCATAGATTTGATTTAGCTAGGTTTCATCATCAAATGATGAACCTAACTAAACCAAATCAAAGATTTTCAAATTAATTCAAGGAGCATTTTGAACCATGGGCCGCCTAGCTTGTTCCTTCTCCTTGGCCGAATTTCTCAAGCATTCCTTCTTGAGTTTGAAGCTTGTCTTGCAAGCTTCTAAACTCAAGCAAGGTTAGCTTACCTTACCATGGTTCCTAAGTGAACCATGGTCAAGGTTAGCTTCTCCTAGAAGCTAGCTAAACCGTGGGAGTTTAAGATAACCCTACCATGGTTCCTAGTGAACCATGGTTAAGGTTAGCTTCTCCTACAAGCTACCTTACCCTATATATTTGATTTTCCTACACTTGTACTCACTTTTGTCAAATATGAGAAATAAAATCTGAATTTTCTCTCTCAAACAAGAGTCACCAAAACCGTGAGCACCTACACTCTAAGGTTTCTAGCAAAGTTCTTCAACTTTGCCTTGGTTCAACAATCTTCCTTAACAAGTTTTAGGAAGTGGCCGAACCTCCTCTTCAAGGCTTCTCCTCCATGGAAGCTTCTTTCATGGAGATTCAAGTTTCACCAAGGGATTAAACTCAAGAACATTTGGTCCAAGCATGGAGGAGTTGAAGTTCATCAATCTTCTTCAACTTAGCTCCATCACCTTCAGATGGGAAGTAGACACTACCGCTCCTAGCTTGTTCAGGGTCGGTCTGCCGATCAATATGTTGTACGATGACTGAGCATTAACCACCAAATACCGAACGACCACCGTCTTCATCTGAGCACCCTGGCCGAAGGTCGTCTCCAGATCGGCATATCCCCTTGTTATGACCTGGTCTCCTGCAAAACCCACTAGAGTCCCTGCATAAGGAATTAGTCGGTCGTTAGGTATTTTCATCCCCTCAAAAGTTTCCCAGAATAAAATATTTGCGGAACTTCCTTGGTCGACCAACACACGCTTCACAATGTACCCCATGACAATCGCCGATACGACGACGGGGTCGTCCTCATGAGGAGCTACTCCTTCGTAATCCGACTTTGAGAACGAAATCTCAGGCTGAGGTGGTCGCCTGAATTCCGATACTGTTAGTACCGACCGAGAGTACCTCTTTCGGGCAGCAGAGGTAGGTCCCCCGCTGGCAATGCCCCCTGCTATGGTATTGAAATCCCCGTGGATGGGCTGCTGATGGGTTTCTGACACCTTTGCTGGTGTGTCTCTGGGGGGAGTTCTCTCCCTACGCCTATCCCTCCTGGTGTCATCCTGCATGCGCCTGGATCGCCTATCCGACGAACTTCCTTCTTGCTTTCTCGCCACAAATTCCTTCAGTCGTCCCTCCTTGATCAAGCGCTCAATCTGCCTCCCTAAGACGAAGCAATTTTCAGTGGAGTGCCCGTGAGCCCTATGGAACTCACACCAATCGGTTTTGAAGGGCCCCAACTGACGCTCCGTCGCCGCCAGAAACTCGAACAATGATGCGCTGTTGACATCGTGGAGTATCTGTCGCCTGGGAACAGTGAGTGGAGTAAACTTCTCTTCTTCATTGCTGCGCGTCCACTCGCCCCTTGACCGACCGTCGTGATCGGCCTGCCTGTAATTGCCCTTCTTCACGTTGTATCGGTCACGTCGTTTACTCTAGTCTGATTGTGGTTGAAGATGCTTATTTCCCTCCTTATTGCTACCCCCTGCTTCTGGGTTCTTAGCTGCCCTTTTAATAATCTGGTTCTCCTCCGTCTTGATGTGGCTCAAGGCGAAATCCCTCACCTCCGACATCGTTTGACAGTTCGCCCTTTCGAGCGCGATGTCGAAGGCTCTAGACCTCAAACCTTTCTGAAATGCGATGACCGCCATCCTCTCGTCCAGCGACGCTATCCTCAAGGCGACCTCGTTGAACCTTTGTAGGAAATCTTTCAGAGACTCCTCGCGTTGTTGTTTGAGGTCGAACAAATTCGACGTGATCGGCGGCTTCTTTTTGTTAGCGGCGAACTGCACCATGAAGAGTCGGCTAAAGACATCAAAGTCGGTGATCGACCGATCTGAAAGACCGCTAAACCAGTCGAGCGCCGCCTTCTTGAGTGTGCCCATGAACAACTTGCAGCGGACTTCCATGCTCCCTCCACAGATCAACATTTGAGCCCGGAAGTCCGTCAAATGCTGACTGGGGTCCTGCGTTCCATCGAAAGGTTCGACCTGTGGTATCCGATGATCCCTAGGGATCATTTCGGCCTCTATGGCTTCCGAGAACGGTCGAAAGTCTCTAGGGACCTCCAGCATGACGTCCTCCTCCACAGTCCTGGTACTAGCCGCCATTCTGGCTTGTAGCTCGTCCGCTCTCCTCCTAATCTCTTCGTTCTCGCGCTGAATGGCCTCCTCTCTCTCCCTGGACCGCGCGTTATCCTCCCTTAAGCCATTGATCATGGCCATCCCCTCCTCCATGGTGGGGGGTTGTGAGTGGTTGTTGTTGTTGCCGCCTCTCGCCATGGTAAAGTGTAGGTCTCTCTGTATGACTTAGGGCGTAGGAAAAGTTTCACCATAGCCCCATGGTGGGCGCCAAAATGTTCCGGCCAAGGGGTGTGCTAGGGTTTCGTCCTAGGTTGAACCTCAAAGCCAGAGTATTCAAAGGTGTGATCTGCCTTCTCAACTCTAGGGTTTTTGGATTTATAGTTTCTTCCTTATGGGCCTCCTAGGCCCCGAGAATGTAGGGATTTCTTCAACCGTCTAATCTAGAGAATATTTTGTCATTAAAGATGAGATTTTGTCCCTGATATCGGATCAGTATCTATGTGAGAGGGTCAGATCGGATGTTGGCCGAGTTGGAGCACACAAGTCAGATTCTGACCGAGTGCACCCATGTAGAGGGGTCAGATCAGATTTCGTAGGAGTAGGTGTCTTAGCCCTTTCGCCTTATAGGCTCAGGGCTAAAGGGCATATGGACCGTCCTGGTCGGAACATGTCCAACACGAGTCTCGGTCGTCTCCCGAGATACTTCATAGGAGTAGGCGCTTTAGCCTTTTCGCCTTATAAGCTCAGGGCTGAAGGGCATGTGGACCGTCCTGGTCGGAATCGAGATGATATTATTTCTTATAATTGAATAGGTGGTGCCTCGTTAAAAACCTTCTCATCAAAAACCCCTCATATTTTTACGGGGACAAAATACTGAGTTAGGAAAAGAGTGCACCTACTAAATACAAGTGAATAAAGAGACTAGTTATAGTAGAAACGCAAATTCGCCGCGTTCCATGTCCTCGGTATCATCCCTCCATCCAAGGTCCTCAATCGGTAAGCTCCTTTGCCGACCACGTCATCAATTTTGTAAGGGCCGACCCACTTAGGTGAAAACTTGTTCCTCATTTGTGTTAGCTGAGCACGCTTCAAAACGAGGTCTCCCACAACGAAGTCTCTCGAAATGAACTTTGTTTTGTACTTGAAAGCTGCTCTTTTATGGGCTGCCACTTGGTTTATCCTTGCACTTTCTCTTGTTTCGGCGATCAAGTCCAAGTCAACTCGCCTTGCCTGGTCGAATTCCTCTTCAGAAAAAGTTGTGGTACGTACTGAGGGTTCCGCGATTTCAATCGGTATCATAGCGTCCGTTCCGTACACTAAGTTGATGGAGTGTCTCAAGTCGATGAATGCACTGTTGTGTGATATGACCATAGTACCCGAGGAAGCTCCTCCACCCATGAAGCGCCTGAGTCTTGGACACGCTTCTTTAACCCTGAGAGAATTATCTTGTTGGCCGACTCCGCCTGGCCGTTGGATTGGGGATGTTCGACGGAGGTGAACGTCATTCGGATGCCGATCCCCCAGCATAATTCGCGGACTCTCGCACTCGCGAATTATGTCCCGTTATCCGATACGAGCACCTGGGAAACACCGTATCTACATACTACGTTCTTCCATAAGAACGTCTTTACCTTCTCCGTCGAGATGGTCGCCACAGGCTCCGCTTCAATCCATTTGCTGAAATAGTCTACAGCCACTATCAAGAATTTTAACTGTCTCACAGCTATCGAAAACGGACCGAGAATGTCAATACCCCACTTGTTAAATGGCCAAGGAGATAAAATCGAGTGGAGTCGTTCGGCTAGGGAGTGGTGCAAAGTTGCATGCCTTTGACATCCATCACATTTTTGAACCCAATTGACGCAGTCGTTTCTCAGACTCGGCCAAAAGTAGCCTGCTCTCGCCACTTTGTACACCAGGGCTCGTCCTCCGATGTGACTCCCACACATTCCACTATGTACCTCGTCCATCACTCTTTGCGCTTGTGAAGCGGTCAAGCACCTTAGAAGGGGAGAGCTGAAACCTCTTCGATACAATCTTTCATTGATGACCACGAATCTGGCTGACTCCCTCTGTATCAATGAGGCCTCCTTCTTGTCCTCTGGCAATTCCCCCCGAGTCAAGTATGCAATGTACGGTCCCATCCATGAGTCGAGCTCATCTTGGATGAAAAGAACACTCCCCTGTGGCTCGTTAATACTTGGCTGCGCTAAGGTCTCTTGGATGACCGACCGAGTGGTTCCCGGCTTCTTTGTGTTGGCAAGCTTGGAGGGCAGATCGGCCCTCGAGTTTTGCTCTCGCGGTATGTGGTTAAGCGTGAATTCTCGGAAATTCTCCGATAGAAGCTTAACTTTTTCCAAGTACTTAGCCAGTTGAGGGTCCTTTGCTTGGAAAGTGCCTGCTACCTGCCCCGTGATCAATTGAGAGTCGCTTCGTGCTGACAAACTCGCCGCCCCCATCTCCTTCGCCAATGCCATGCCGGCCAACAACGCCTCATATTCGGCCTGGTTATTGCTTGCTCGGAATTCGAAGCGCAACGACTGTTCCAACAAAATTCCTCTTGGTCCTTCCAAGACGATCCCTGCTCCACTTCCCCCAAGGTTCGATGCTCCATCTACTGACAAGGTCCACTGCGTCTCTCCAAACTCACCCTCATCGACCCCTCATATTTTTACGGGGACAAAATACTGAGTTAGGAAAAGAGTGCACCTACTAAATACAAGTGAATAAAGAGACTAGTTATAGTAGAAACGCAAATTCGCCGCGTTCCATGTCCTCGGTATCATCCCAAAAACAATAACAATTCTTGATCAATCACATTAATTATGGAAATAAAGGTTGAAATATGAATTTTTATAAAAGCAAAAGCAAAAATTTATTAAAGCCTTAAGCCAGATATATATTTAAAATAAACATTTTAGCAATGTTGGACATAGCTCACCCTCAAGCCATTCTATCAAATTCATGTACCCGATGATGATCTGGCCATAAATATATAAGTTTGCCTATTAAGTCTTCCTATTACAAACATATGGCCCAAACCCTTTGTATCCGTACGTACAAATAAACTTGGCTCATGTACCCGATGATGATCTGGCCATAAATATATGTTTTCCTATTAAGTCTTCCTATTACAAACATATGGCCCAAATGCTTTGTATCCGTATGTAGAAATAAACTTGGCTGCTTATCCTTTACTCACTTCTTCATCTTTTATATTTCAACTAATAATACATTTCTAATTCATACATTTACACCTTATTATATATACAAACCTTATTTTTCTCACTTTCACATGTATATTATTATTTTACATCTTACCCAACTTATTATATTCGCACTTATGTATTTAAAATTATTTTGATTATATATATATAGAAAGAATGGATCTATTTATTCTAGGAGTAAGTCTACTTAAACTTACTCTATTCAATAACTCATGTTCTACATCAAATTTCAAGGATCCAATCATTAAATTTAAAGTTCTTAATGCATAAATCAATTCTGCAAATTTTAAAAAATTAAAAAATTATTTAATACTTTATTTCATTAATTCAAATTAATGTATAAAATACTTTTATATCTACCCGTTAATTTGAATTAATGAAACAAAGTATCAAATGATTTTCAAATTTTTAAAAAATTTACAGACTTGATCTAAGCATTAAGAACTTTAATTTTAATGGTTGAATCGTTGAAATTTGATATAGAACATGAGTTATTGAAGGGAGTAAGTGTAAGTAAACTTACTTTTACGATAAATAGATTCCTTCTCTGTCACACACATATATGTATATATGGTTGACATTACCATTTTTTTCTCATTTGTAGGTAATTTGGTCCATTGAGAAGTAACATAAAAAATGTAGATAGTTAAACCCATTGAAAACTCATTAATTAACGAAATCATACATGAATTGTTTGGTATTATTTAATTTATATAGGTTTTATTTTTGGATGCTTCCAAAACATACCTAATATTTAAATTTTTTTTGCCACTTTTAAAATCAATAAATTGGTCAAATAACTGATTTTAAAAGTAAAGAACAAGCAACTTTAAAAGTTTTTTTTCCCACTAGTGTTTGAGAATATCTAATCTTCCTAATTACAAAATGTATTGCCCGTGCTGCGAAGCCGAGCTCCGAGCTCGACATCGCAGCGTAAAATGAGGTCGGGCACGCGCTATGCGACGTCAGCTCGGCATTTAAGCAGATCATAACTGATCTCGAGGGATCTCGCTTCAGGCGAGATCCACTATCTAATCTTATCATATCTTATCTCAGGCCCAAGGCCCAAAGCAATCCTAATTCACACTAAGGTACGTGCATTACTTATACGAGATTCGTACTCCCACAAACACTAACTTTAGCATCGGAGTCTCTTTTGCAGGTACCACCCCCATATTGGAGCATCAAGCGTACTAGCAAAGGAGGCTCACCGATCTTACCTAGCGGATCAGCTCTACAGCAGATTTCTAGTAAGAACATTTGGCGCCCACCGTGGGGCCGATCAAGACAGCTCTTATCGGCCACGCTTATGGTTTTCACCAGAAGCCATAGTAGACGCACAACAGACGATGCAAACCACTCAACTACCATGGATAACGAAGCAGCATTGAGGAGACTAATCGATCAGGTCAAACAGATGCGGCAGCAACACGCCGCCGACCTACAAAACATGCGTGCCAAGCACGACACTGACCTAGCGGCAATGCGTACCGCTAATGAAGCTGACCTGGCGGCGCTACGTGCCGAGAACGAGCCAATCCGCGCTCAACTCCCTCGACGCCACTCCGATCATCCTCCTCATACGAGCAACCACAATGAGGAAGGGGAGCACTCAGTCTCCCAATCCTGGACTACAACTAGGGTCCCAACCCCCAGACCTGCTTCATATCGATCTCATGCACTGACGCACAAGCCGACCCATGTAGTCAGCAAGGCTCCTACTCATGTTGCAGGGTGTAGACCCCTAAAATTGTCTGGGTCGGAAATAAAG